CAATCTATGTTTTAGTTGGTAGCTTTAAATGTAAATTTAGACCATTTACATTCAATGTAATCATTGATATGTTAGGGCTTAACATATCGTTTTATTTGCCAGTTTTTGTTTGTTCTTTGTTTTTAATTTGTTTCTTTTTCCTGCCTTTTAGTGAGTTACCTGAACTTTTAAGAATAATTCCATTTTGATTTTTCTATAGTATTTTTATGTCTCTCTGTATAGCTCTTTCAGTGGTTGCTTTAGGTATTAAACTTTATATTTACATAATATTAGATTCAACTGGTGTTATAGTTTTATCTGTTTAAGTGAAGTAAATTTATCATCCTCTGATTCCCTTTACCCTCTCTCGTTTATAATTTTCTTAAACATTTCCTCTACATACATTTAGACATAGGCATGCCTTGTTTTATTGCACTTCACTTTACTGCACTTCAGATACTGCATTTTTTTAAAAATTGAAGGTTTGTGGCAACCTTGTGTTGTCAGATCACGGTTAGCATTCTTTAGCAATAAAGGGTTTTTTTCCAGTTCAAACTCAATATATTTTGCCAATTAATTTTCCCCCTTACATCACCTAGACCCACATGCAGAGGAGGTAAGAAGTAAGGTCAGCACCTAAATATCCACTTCTCTTAAATGTTGTTCGTTGTGGTATTCCTGTTTTCTCCTTCTTTGGGATTCTTAGAGCTATTACTGTCCACATTCTTCTGAGAAGGGGAAAGACCAGCAATAAAGTTTTTTTTTGTTTGTTTTGTGGTACGCGGGCCTCTCACTCTCCCGTTGCGGAGCACAGGCTCCGGACGTGCAGGCTCAGCGGCCATGGCTCACGGGCCCAGCCGCTCCGCGGCATGTGGGATCTTCCCGGACCGGGACACGAACCCGTGTCCCCTGCATCAGCAGGTGGACTCTCAACCACTGCACCACCAGGGACACCCTAAAGTATTTTTAAATTAAGGTATGTACACCTTTTAAAAGACATAATGCTATTGCACACTTAACAGATTACAGTATAGTGTAAACATAACTTTTATATGCACTTGGAAGCCAAAAAATTTGTGACTTATTTTATTGCAATACAAACTTTGTTGCAGTAGTCTGCAACCAAACCTGCAGTATCGCCAAGGTATGCCTGGGTGAGCAGGCATGGGTGAGAGGGCACTGTATTTTGTTTGTTTCATGTATGGTGTTTGGCTGGAGTAGAGCAGTTACTGTCAAAAGTTTTTCTTTCTTTTCTTTTTTTTTTTTGTGGTACACGAGCCTCTCGCTGTTGCAGCCTCTCCCGTTGCGGAGCACAGGCTCCAGATGCGCAGGCTCAGCGGCCATGGCTCACGGGCTTAGCCGCTCCACGGTATGTGGGATCTTCCCGGACCAGGCACAAACCCGTGTCCCCTGCATCGGCAGGTGGACTCTCAACCACTGCGCCACCACGGAAGCCCTGTCAAAAGTTTTTCTGTCTTGCCAAGCTGTCCCTTTCCTGGTCCTTTAGTCAGAGAGAACAGGCTTTTGTTGGGGCTTTATTCTTGGTCTGAATCCCTTAGCATTTCTGGGCCACTGGTTTCTTCATCTCCAATTCTACGATATGGAGGCAAAACAAAACAAAACAAAAAAACCCAGGTGCCTTGTCCCCATGTTGCTTGTTGGGTCTCATGGTTCCTAGTCACTGTGTCTTCTTTCCACATTTCAGAGTCTTCTTATACTTGTTTTATATATAATGTCCAGGGTTCCTAGTTGTACTTTGTGGGAGAAAGAGGGGAAAGTACATCTACTCCATCTTCCTTGAAGCCGAAGTCCTGATGCATTCTTAAAAAGCTGGTCTATGGTTCCACTTTCACAAAAACATTTCCCTGTGAAATAGGGGCAGCATTCCAGTGTCCTTCAAAAGAAATGGAAAACAAGCTTGCAGTAGGAGACAAGATGATTAGCAAGGTTTAGACCATCCCAACCCGCCTGCCAAGATGTTACACCACTAGCAAAAAGCTAAGTCTCTTTGCTATAAGTGCCTCAGGAAAATGAGATAATGTGAACATTGGTGATTTCATCCATTGCCCATACAGACGTCACTTGTCTGGGATCTGCATGGCTATAATCTGCTTCCCCTGACTTCAGCAACTACCGACACCTTCTCCAGTGTCCCCAAACCTCTCAGAGGCTCCATTCTCTTCCTTCAGTGATCTCACCTCCTTTTCCCAGGTGAACACACACCCTGAGACCAGAAGTACCTCAACTTTCAGTCCTCAACTCCCACTACCCATGGCTGCTATGGCCACTTTGTGTGAATTAGAAAGAAGCACTCTTTCCTTAATAGTCACAGTTACCATTCAAAATTAGGATGACCTTGCAGTCAGTAGTACCTTCTGGCTTTATGAAATGCGTAGCTTGCTCAACAGCACAAATCCTACAAATCTCCATGTGCCTGCTGCCTTCCATCTTCCTTTCCCGGTTACTGCCTGAGATCAGCCCCTCCACTTGTGCTCTGTGTACCCCCTTCTCCTCTCATCCTGCCTCATAAACTACTCTTGGGAGTGGGTCAGGTTGGCCATGTGGTCATCACCACTAAAGTCATCACCACCTAAAGTTCCTGGCTCCTTCTCATTGTCAGCAAAAAAACTAATCAATTGTCAACCTTAGAAAGAAATGGAAACATTTATTTGAGCCAACCTGAGGATTACAGCCCGGGAGACAGTCTTTGAGAAAGCTCTGAGGGCTGTTCCAAAGGGGTAAGTGGGGAGGCCAGTATATACGTGATTTCGGTGAAGGGGATACATGCAATCAAGCACACATCTTGGTAGAAGGTTACTGTTAGTTGTGAAGAACAGATATCACCGTTAATGGTTTTAGTGCTTTTCTAAGTATGGGAAGATGTAAGAGACTGTGTTCATAAAATTTTCTCATGAAAATATCTAGCTATCTGAGGGCCAATTCCGCCAGTTTTCCCAGAGCACAACATGCCTCATCCTGACCTTTGCCCTGAATTCCTTCCAGGGTGTCCTGTAGGTCAGTGACTGCAGTGGCTATAACTTGATTCTTGTAGGACTTGATGGTGGGAAACACTCTTTTACAATCCCCTCCCTTTCAGTCTTAATTTCGACCAAGGTTTGGGAGGCATGTTGTGACCAATTTGTCCCACAGAGCTAGGAATGCTCACGCCCAGGTCAGGCAAGGGTTTCATTGAGAGGCCGCTCAATGGGCTATTACTGGACCAGGCCCTGTTGACCGTAGCCAAAAGCCTCTAGACCACCTGTCTTACTAGTCTGTCATGGTTCAGGAATGGTTCCCTCTTCTTGCTTCTTCCCATATCTAGAGTTACACATTACGATCACTGACCTTATAGGACTATATACTTGGCCAATTGTTTCAAGTTGCCTAGTCATTATTATTTTTATCAGAGGTTCAGTCATGTATTTGGTAATGCATGAAACAATAATCTTGTAAAATAGGCAGAATGCAAGTAATATACCTAATAATATTAATAAGGTCATAGGTAAGTAATGTTATCTTCTGAAGAGTTACATAGCTGGTGCCAGAAGAAGAAAAACTGAACTTTATGGTTGAGCAGCTATTTCTGCCATCGGGGAGGTGTGCTTAATGCATAACGCAGACGCACAATGCACGCTAGCTGGGAGGAAGAAGGCCCAAGTGGGGAGAAAAACATTCATTAACATTTTTCTTACCTTGCCTTAAAATATGGATTTTATTTCATCACCATCAAAATTTAAACAAGCTTATGTCTCTCCAATCTTAAGGGAAAGAGAGAGAGAAGAAAAGAAAAACATTAACGTCCTTCCTCCAGTATCCTTCTCATTTCTTCAAAGGCAACTTCTTGGAAGGCCTGTCTGTGCTGTTTGTCTCCATTTTCTCACCACCACCCTCACCCCTCAACTCACTCTAAACCGGTCTCCTCCCACCATTCCAACGAAGCTGCTCTAGCTAATGGCAATGCCTGTTTGGTCATAGCATCTCTCAACCTTCATCTCACTAACTTCTCGAGAAAAATGGCCCAGTCTACTACACTTCTTTGAAGCGCTCTTCTCTTGCTTCTGCAGTATCATATTCCCTGGGTTCTTCTCCTAAGGCGACCTGATCCTCCTCTTCTTCTCCTTTTTTTGTTGGCGGTACGCGGGCGTCTCACTGTTGTGGCCTCTCCCGTTGCGGAGCACAGGCTCCGGACGAGCAGGCTCAGCGGCCATGGCTCATGGGCCCAGACGCTCCGTGGAATGTGGGATCCTCCCAGACCGGGGCACGAACCCACGTCCCCTGCATCGGCAGGCGGACTCTCAACCACTGTGCCACCAGGGAAGCCCCTTCTTCTCCTTTAAGTAGAGAAGCTCTTGGGGGGTAAGGCTGGGCCTCTTTTCTAAATAGTATTTCCTCCACCAGGCAATCTCTTCCATGCTGCTGCTCCATCCCTACCCCCATGTACAACCTAAGACACAGACTTCCAGCTCAGGTCTCTTGTCTAGAAGATGCAAACAAGCACACCCCACGGCTGCTGAGCTTCTGCACTAGTGGGTCCCACAGGCTCAACATGTCTAAAACCAAACTATTCCCACAAATCTGCTTCTCCTCCTGTGTCCCCTTCCTGTGTGTGTAACTCCAATATTCACCCAGCTATCAGCCCAGAAGCCTGGCAGTCACCCAAGTCTCCACATTCCACACATCCAATCCACCACTGCCACGGCATACGTCCCAACTACCTCAACAAACCTCCCTCCCTGTATTCTCTACGCTGTGGCCCTAGCCCAAGTAACCAAAGTCCAAAGAGCCTCCAAAGATGCCCCTAGACCAACCGGGGCTTCGTGCTTCAAACCCTCCGCAGGCACCACGTGGGTAGTCCTTCCGTGTCTGTCTTAGGAGTTTTGTCAGGAAGGAAAGCACCTGTGGGTCGTGTTCACTGGGTTCTGGAGCACAGCACACTGCCCTGCACCCAGTGAAGTCAGTGAATACTCGTTAGAACGACAGAACGAGAGAATGAGCGTGAGAGGCAGCGCTGCCCCCTCTTCCCTGCAGCAGGAGCTCAGTACCACTCGGCAATCCCATCCGCCACACGCAACGTGGCAGCGACCGAGCCCCGCGCCCGACTTCCGTTTCCGGTGCTGAGCCGGTACCATTGACTCTCCGGTTGCCCGGGAGACCCTCGGAAGCTAACAATGCGAGGGGTCTGTTCCCTTTCTCTTCTATTCTCGCCTAAGCTCCAGCTCTGCCTGACCCAGCGGCCAGCAGCCTGTCGGTGAGAGGAGGGGCCGAGGGGAGGGAGGAGAGGGGAGGGACGGAGGCGGGGGGAGGTGACCGGGAGGCAAGCCAAGTAAGAGTAAGTTGAAAACTGACCCCAGCACAGGTTATTACCGGGCTGTTGGAAGTGGCTGATGCAATATGCGGGCAGAGACAATGATGCTTAGTAACCAGGACTTATCTCCATAAAACGTGTGCGTACACAGGCCTTAGCAGCCTGAAAACCATTTTCTTCTCCTTTAAGATTTATTCATGAAACGAGCCAGCCACCACTCACACCTGCTGGTAAACTTTCCTCCTGTTTCTGGGGTCATGTCCAGCAAGAGAAGGGGTCCGTATTGGTTTTCATTAGTGGCCGGCACCGTTCTTCACTTTTCTCACCCTTTGTTGAAATGGCAGTGAAAACCCAAGGGGAGAAAGCACTGTAAAGGGGGCTGAAAAGACTGCAGGAGACCAGAGCCACTGACTTTTATTTTTAAAATGATCTCTTTTACTTGAAGAAGCATAAGGATTTTGGCTCCTGAGAGATGCTGTGGGACTTGAAAGCAGTAGACATTTTGCTATAGATGATAAGAAAGATGGTCATCAAATGAATATCCCCCGACTTGCAGATCTAGTGAACAGAGCCATGATCCATTGTCCTCAACAATGACCTTGACACATTGGAACGGGCTGCAAAATTCACCCTTTCTCAACTACTCATCACATCCTCACATTCAGTTTTGCTTAGTTGTTTTATGTGGTTCGTGGCCTGATTGTTTGTTTGTTTGTTTTGTCAGGGTACAGCAGAAGCTCCCAAGTAGCTGAGAAGTTCGTGGAATCTTCCTATTGGTACAACTTTCGCTATTGCTTGTGTTATAGTGTGGGGTAAGGGTGAGCAGACATTTCTCAAGCGCACTGTTTAAATACACAGCACGCTGAGACTTGACTTCAGAAAGTCAAGAGAAGTAGGTTTGAACAATGTAAATAGAAAGGACATTTCGTTTGATAGCAGGAATATAGTTTTTGCGCTAATAAAGTGCTTTCAAAATTAGTGTGCAATTTTTAGTAATTAGCATGTCATTTTAGTTATCAATTGGTTCATAACAAACAGACTAATTAGGTACCCCACTCAGTCATTTATCTAAATGAAAAGTGCTGCTATATCGTATTTGTGGGCATTGATCAAAGCTATGGGAAAAAGAGATTAAGATGAAAATCATGGGATTAAATTTTTAACTAGTTTGCCCCCTGAACAATTGCTTGCTGTGACACCATGATTGATTGGCTACTTACGCCTGCCCAGGAAGGATGTGGCTCTACTACCAAATCTCTGAACATAAAAGTGTTTTACAAAAGACTGAATGTTTTATTCAGTTATGTTTCACTTTATTCCTGCTTAACAAGGAATTGAAAAGGAAGGCAACGTTTGGGATCTCATAGTCCTGTGTCTGGTGATACATATAAAGTATGAGATGGAAGCTTCAGTTAGTTCATTAATATCAAAAACTTAATGTGTCTAAAGTAAAACTCTCCATTTCCATTTTCCACCCTCTTCCCCTCCCAGAGTTCCTTATTTTAACCAGTGGTAACAACACACATCAATGTGCTCAAGGCAAAAACCCAAGAATAATCTTGAATCCCTCTTCCTCTCATTCCACACAGCTTGTCCATCAACAAGTTCAATCAGCTTTTCTTCCAAAACATTTCCAAAAACCATCTGCTGTTCACATCTCTACCTTCTAACCCAGGCACCATCATCCTTTACCTGGTTAACTGCAAGCCCCCTTAATCTGGTCTCCCTGTTTCTAATCTCATAACTCATTTCCTCCAATGCTCGCCCCTCCCCAGTCCATCCTCCGCCTAACAGCCAAAATGTTTGTTTAAAACATATATTAGATTCTGTAACTTCTCTACCTAGAACCACCCATTATTGTCTTCCCACACTAATTGCTGAGCCCTATAATACCCTACCTGATCTGGATTCATCTGTGACCATTCTCCACCTCTCCACTCACTGTGATCCACCACACTGTCTGTCTTTCTTCAGTCTGCCAAGTTTGGACCTGCTTTAGGGCCCTTGCACTAGTTATTCCCTTTGCCTGGAAGCCCAGGTGTTTGCAGAGCTGAATCTCTCAGCTTAAATGCTGCCTCCTCAAATAGGCCTTCCTTCACCACCCAAACTAGTCTCCTATTACTTCCTATCACATCAGCCTGATTCACTTTTATCCCAGCACTCCTCATGATGGCTATCTTCTTGTATCTTTCGTCCTTTGTTTATTGACTAACTCCTGCTACTAATATGTAAGCTTAATGGAAGTAAAGATCTGGTCTTTCTTGTGTGTTAGTCTATCTCCAGGGCCCCAAATAGTCTCCAATACATGAGTGAAAGAATATATGAATGAATGGATTCTGTTGGCACCAAGCTGTTACCATCTCATCATAGGAAGGCTGGGAAAGGTCAGGGGACCAAATACCACTTAGAGTAGACCTTAAGACACGAGACGGGCAAGGACACAGAATGGAGAGAGGCAAGAGGAACATTGTCCGAGGTGGGGAGGGCCGGGGATCAGTGAAGGAACATGGAAATTATAGAGTGCAGCTCTTCAGATATAGCCTAGAAATCCTAAAATGTGCGTGTGCCTGCACACACATAGCCACACACGGTCCAGCTAGAAGAGCAGCGGCTCTCAGCATCCGCTATGTCGGACCTGTATCTTCCAGAACATTCTCCTGCTAGAGGTGCTTAGCTACAGTGTCAAGAGTCTGAATCAGAGGTCTAGGTGGGGCCCACATGTCTGCTGCTGTGTAATGCTTGTAAGCTGGTCTCCTTCTTGGTCGGGACAATAAGGCTGCAGTAGATAGGACATTTGGAGAAGGCAGCGTGCCATCCTGCAGTGGTTCTATTAAACCACCCCGTCGGGTGAACCTGAGCAGCTTTCCCTCCATGGACGCCAGTTTTCCTCAAATATAAAATGAAAGCCTTAGTTGGACTCCTGTGTAACTTTACAACTCAGACTTAACTGAAATTAAGTATGTGGGGTCCCCTCCTCCCTGAGGAGCAAGGGGGGCTACTTTTTAGAAAACCTCGAACCGAAGGCAACATCCTAATTTGGTGATTCCACCTAAATGACATATTTTGTCTAGGAAGCACTTTACCACATTATGCCATCTAATATTTATATCGAGAACTGATGAAAATGTCAGGAGCAAATTATGCTGCTATGAAACTATGTGGAAATGGCTCAGGTTTATTCTCTGACTCAGGTGGATGGGAGGGGCTAGGGATGAAGGAGAGAAAGTGACTATCATTGGCACTCAGGTTTAAAAAAATGAGGAAAAAATGGAGCTTAGACTTTCATCCTTTGATAAAACTTTCTCACCCCCAGCTGGTCACCAAATTCTTGGGATTAGCCTTCTCTCTTCCATTCACCCCTCAGTTGAACCTCTTGTCAGTCCTTTTCCCCTTCAAAGCTGCCCTCAACATTAAAAAACAAAAAAAACTGAACTGCAAACTTTATTCAGATCCAATCCAGGGTCCCATATTGCATTTCATTTTCCATGTCTCCTATTTTCCAACCTGTGCCAATTCCTCTTTATTTCGTTGTCTTTCATCACCTTGACACTTTTGAAGAGTTCTTGTCTATTATTTTGTAGACTGTCCCTCAATTTGGACTTGCCTGATGTTTTCTCAGGATTAGGCTGGGGTTTTGAAGTTTCTGCAAGAAACCTTCATAGCAATGATGTGTCCTTCTCAGTGTACCATATCGGGGTCCATGCCGCCAGTATGTTTCTTTACTGGTGATAACCTTGATCACTTGGTTTAGGTGGTGTCTGTCAGGTCTTTCACTGTAAAGCGGAGAATTCCATTTGTAATTAATATATTTGGACGGGGGAGAGGTTGTGAGACTCCCTCAGCATTATTTGTAACCAGATTTTCCTTCTACGTGCACATTGGGATGGAGGAGAGGCACGTGGTGTGTTTTGCAGAAATCTTTGTTACTACAAGAAAGACCTGTGGCTACATCTTGAGAGACAAAAAGGAAAATGTGATATGGCGTGTCTGGGGTGGCGAGTGTGTACGTTGTTAACTGAATGGAGTTCAGTTCTTTTTATCCATGAGTTCATTCAGCAAATGTCTGTTAATAAAGGCTAACTCTTTTTCGAGTATCTACAAATTGCCAAGCACTGGTATCAGGCCCTACATCTGTTATCTCAGTTCATACAACACTTTAAAGTAGATATTATCACCCATGTTACAGATAAGGATCCTGAGGTTTAAGGAAGCAAGTTGCTCAAAGGCACGTGGCAGAACTGTGACCCGAACCCAGACCTGTCTAACTCAAAAGTGTGCTATTTCCACGACACCAAGCTTGCTCCCCTCCTATGGGCCAAGCGCTGTAGTCAACGCTGAGGATACTGAAGCGTTAAGACTCGTGTTCAGGAAGAGCTCGTACTCCAGCAGAGGAGGCCTTCGGAAGAAGCGCAGAAGGCCCGGGGAAGGACCGTTACTGGTGGGTCTAGTTCTTTTGTTCTGAGAATCACTGAGCTGCTTTTCTCAGGTCTTTACTGAGTCACAGTAGATTGGCCAGGCTGCCTTCAGCGCAAATAGTTCACTAGAGAAGGGAGCCAAGATCGACGGCGTGCTTCCTCTGCTGTTGCTGCCCGTGATTTATCTCAGCCACCCTATGACGTGGGTTTATTTTCTCCAGTTAGCTCATGAGGAAACCAAGGCTCAAAGGGGCCAAATAACATACTGAAAGTCACCGGCTAGTAAGTGGCTAAACTGAAGTGTGATGGATTCCAAGGTCTTCAGGACCCCTTGATCCGCCTGGGGGGCTGGATTTCAGCATCCTCACCACCAGTGGAACTGTGTGTCTGTTGACTTCTCCTTTGTAGGAAGGATGCTCGTGATCACCTCACGCCTGATGGTCACTGACAGCAGTGCATTTGTAACAAGCATTTTTGCTCAAACCAAAGGATCTTTGTGCAGCTTTTGCTTTTTTTAAAATTTATTTTTTATTTTATTTATTTTTGGCTGCGTCGGGTCTTCGTTACTGTGCGCGGGCTTTCTCTAGTTGCGGCGAGGGGGGCTCCTCTTCGTTGTGGTGCGTGGGCTTCTCATTGTGGTGGCTTCTCTTGTTGTGGAGCACGGGCTCTAGGCGGCAGGCTTCAGTAGTATTGGCTTGTGGGCTCTACAGCGCAGGCTCAGTAGTTGTGGCGCACAGGCTTAGTTGCTCCGCGGCGTGTGGGATCTTCCCGGACCAGGGATTGAACCCGTGTCCCCTGCCTTGGCAGGCGGATTCTTAACCACTGCGCCACCAGGGAAGCCCCGCAGCTTCTGGTTTTTTAAACCACCTCCTCCCACAGTCAATCCGTGTCAACAGAAGGGAAATGGAAAATGATGATTCTGAATCATTTGTGACATATAAAATGCTACTTTACAAACAAGCATGCTTCCCCAGGAGGTATGGCATACGGCAAGTCAGGTCTCCCTGCTCTCGATCTTTTGATGAGAGAGTTTAGTTCCTCCCAGAGTCAATGCTCAATAAATAGCATTTGCTACTGCTGCTAATAATAGTTTGTGGTCTTCATGTCACAAGGCATTTACTGAACTGTCCAGTGAAAGAGGGGACAGAAAAGGTCTGTCATTCTCCTGCCTCTTCCATTTTGACATCTCCCTAAATGGTCTTACAAGGCGTTGTGCTTTCTATTTTTTATTGGTTTTGAAAATGCAAAAGCTAAGTGGAGTAGCTGAACTTAGTGGCTGGAGAAGAAGAGGCCAGGGATCAGGATGGGGGGAGATCAGTTGGCGAGCTGGCTTATTAAAATTACTCCATTTTATCTCTACCACATATGGTTCACTGATTATCTTGACTCTGCTACTACTGTTCTAGTAGAGATGATGAGAAAGAATAAACAAAAGGTGAGATGGTCAGTGGCTGTGAAAAAATACAGGGTGTAAGGAATTAGAAGATGCTCTTGTTTTCCCCATCTTAGTTTCGAATCGCCAGACCAGACCCAGAGTCAAGGATTCAAGTGCAGGTAATTTATTTGGAAGGTGCAGGAACCATTGGTAGGGAATTGGGGAGAACGAGCTGGAAAGGGGAAAAGGCCAATAAAGGGATGTGTTATATCAAGCAAGCTGATACTGTGGTGACTGGAGCTTAATCCCACTGGTGAACCCTGAGAAATAGTGGTGTAGAGCACACGTGTCAGATTTATCCACTGTTCCCCCATCCCACCAGGGGAGGAAGTGGGGATATTTATGCGCTACCTTCTGAGTGTCAGTGGTTGAGGGCTGCTCCCATAAAGTGTGCTGGGCACACAGAGTGGATTCTCCAGCTTGGGAGAAAGCTCTCAGGCAAAGAGATGCAAATGCTGGCAGTCGGAAGTCCACCAGTGTGCACTGAAGTGGAAAGGCTTACGGATGTGGGCTGGGTACCAACAACATCCACTATGTTCCCTTAAAACAAAACAAAACAAAACATTCAGTCCTCCCCCAGCGTTCCCCATATCATTAAACGTACCGCCATTTACTCAGCTTCTCATGCTAAAGACCTTACAATTTTCCTTGATACGTTTTTTGGTTTTGTTTTGTTTTGTGTGTGTGTTTGTTCTTGCCGCACATTCAGTCTATCCCCAAATCCTGTGAATTCCATTTTCAAAATACATCTGAATCCTACTACTTCTCACCATCTCCATCATGATCTTTCACTAGATTTCTTCTATAGCTTTCTAGTCTGAGTTTTTATTTACATTCTCATCCCCCATATGGTACCCAGAGTAATCTTTTTAAACTTAGATCACTTTACTCCCCCCATCACAAAACCATCCAGGGGCCCTTTTTTGAAGTCCTTACCATGCTCTACACGATCTGGCTCCTGGCTGTATCCCTGACTTCAGTTTCTATCCACTCTCCTCCTCACGCACAGTGCTCCAGCCAGATTGGTTTTCTGGCTGCATTCCTACCTCAGGGCCTTTGCACTTGTTCTTTCAACTTAGCAAACTACTCTGTATGTTCATGTCACTCAATCAGTTTATTCAGATAGTTGCTCAAATGTCACCTTTGTAGGGAGCACTTTTTAAAATACCCTATCTAGAAAACAGACTTTTCTCACTCTGTTCTCGTACCCTGGTTTTATTTTATTTTTTTCCATAGCAGTGATCATGACCTGGCTGATTGTAGTTTATGTTTTTATTTATTGCCTATTCCTGAATTAGGATATAAGTGGGGCGGACTCTGATTTGTTGCACTACCCCCAGCCTGGAGTAGCACCAACACATAGTAGGTATTCAATAAATATTTGCCGAATGAATGGATTAATAACTGTTTAATGGTCCTGCTGAGATCAGTCAAGAACTTTCAGAACAGACAGCAGAAATTACAAACCTTAGTTTGATAACTGCCTGCCTGCATCTTTTCCCCGAGCTGTCTCTAATGAAAAACACACACTCTGGGGCTTCCCTGGTGGCGCAGTGGTTGAGAGTCCGCCTGCCGATGCAGGAGACACGGGTTCGTGCCCTGGTCCGGGAAGATCCCACATGCTGTGGAGCGGCTGGGCCCGTGAGCCATGGCCGCTGGGCCTGCGCGTCCAGAGCCTGTGCTCCGCAACGGGAGAGGCCACAACAGTGAGAGGCCCGCGTACCAAAAAAAAAAAAAAAAAAACAAACACACACACTCTTAGCAGAGTCAGTTGAAGGTCCTGGGGCTACTTCCAATATGTTCTTTCTTGAATCCATTGCAAATCACAACGTGTTCATTTTTCTTTTTGTTTGACTCTCTGAGAACAATAGAGAGAAAATCAAGATAATCAGTGTGCTACATGTATGGTGATGGGGACAAAGTGTAGCCTTGTTCTTTGATAAACTAGAATGCGAAGTTGGTCATTTCCCCGAGTTCCTGGCATGTAGCAGATGCACACTGCATGCTGAGTGAACTGACAGCATCACCCCTTTGACATTTCTGCTGCTTGTTCCGCAGGACACATTTCATTTTAAGACCCACACTCTTAAAGATGCCGGAAAGTGGGGGGACTTTCTTCATCACTGCCCCCCATCCCAGAAAACCCTTAACTTTAGCCACACCCATCTCTTCTCATACATACCCCCCCGTGATCCCCAAAATAGTAGAGTCAGTTCTATCTTTTGTGTGTAGTTTAAAACTATTTAATTTAGTCCATTATAAAAATAGCGCAGGCTCATTTTAGAAAAGGTTATACATTTTTTATAAAAGTAAAAGAGAAGAGGGAGAAAAATAACACATCGTTCTATCACCCAGGGATAACCAGTGTTAGTAGGTGGACGTATTTCCTTCCAGTGTTTTCTATGTATATTTTTGCACAGTTTTTTTGTTGTTTTTTTTGCGGTATGCGGGCCTCTCACTGTTGTGGCCTCTCGTGTTGCGGAGCAGCAGGCTCCGGACACACAGGCTCAGTGGCCATGGCTCACGGGCCCAGCCGCTCCGCGGCACGTGGGATCCTCCCAGACCGGGGCACGAACCCGCGTCCCCTGCATTGGCAGGCAGATTCTCAAGCACCGCACCACCAGGGAAGCCCTTTGCACAGTTTTAATATACAGTTTAGCTCTCTTTTTTACTAACATCATAACATAAGCATTCATTCATAACATTCAACGTTTTGTGCACATCTTTTTATTTATTTATTATTATTTTTTTTAATTTATTTATTATTTTTGGCTGTGTTGGGTCTTAGTTGCTGCTCACGGGCTTTCTCTAGTTGCGGCCAGTGGGGGCTACTCCTCTTTGCGGTGCGGGGGCTTCTCATTGCAGTGGCTTCTCTTGTTGCGGAGCACGGGCTATAGGCACGCAGGCTTCAGTAGTTGTGGCTCATGGGCTCTAGAGCGCAGGCTCAGTAGTTGTAGCGCACGGGCTTAGTTGCTCCGCAGCATGTGGGATCTTCCCAGACCAGGTCTTGAACCCGTGTCTTCTGCATTGGCAAGCGGATTCTTAACCACTGCACCACCCGGGAAGCCCCTGTGCACATCTTTTTAAATAGCTGTGCAGTATTACGTTTCCCTGTTGTAGACCATTTTGCTTGTTTTCTATTTTTCATTATAAGTAATGCTGGGATAAACATCCTTTGACTTGTATCTTTGCTGGCATTGCTGATTATTTCTTTGGGATAGAGTCCCAGAAAAAAAAAAAATCACTAGTTCTAAGGATACAAACTCTTAAGACATTTTGTAAGATTTCATTTTGATTTCTAAAACTGTTTGGATGTGACTTCCATAAAAGAGCTCCAGAAAAGCAGTTTGCCTCTGAGAATTTACTTCCAGTTTTGAAACGTTTCAGACCCAGGCTGTTTTAGCATTCAGTTTCAATGAGCACAGAAATCTTCTGTAGCCTTCTCCACTGCAGGCCTCTTCCCACTCTAATAAAATGCAGCAAGAGCATTATAAAAATCGTTCTTTGGTAAACAGCCTCTTTTTGTGTTCTCAAGGATTGTTTTCTGAAGTCTTTCTGTGGGTATTGTAGTCATGTCTAGGACTACACGTAGTATTTTTGCATGCCTGCTCCTGACGTCTTAAGGGTTTACTTATGCTTTTATGTTTTATTCATTGCCAAAAGGAAGTCCAGATTTCATGGCAGTGGAACCCGCTTTTATAAGTCTGTCTGAGTCCAGCCTGAAAGGCCAGGACTCCCTTGGCAGGGACTGCTTTTGGTAACATCATAGGAGTAAGGCTGGGCCAGCCTGGAAAGGGCCTTGCCAAAGATGGGCAGTTTATAAATAGAGAGAAGCCATGGCTTTCATAGATAGGATGGGTAGGCATTATATAATATCACGATATCCAGGAGACATAATATCTGGAAGAGCCAAGGGTTCTAGGATGGTTTGGAAAGTTATGGTACAGCCATCTACATAATCTCATGCATGCAACCTTATTAAGCAGAATGAATCCAGCATCTCTGTATTGACCTGAAAAGATGTCCAGGCTCTTTTGTTAATTCTAAATAGTAAGTTGTAGAGAAATATATATGGTTTGATCCCATATTTGCAAATAAAGGCAAAAATTGGGTTCCAGGTAATCTTTAATATCTACATGAACCAAAAGAAACATGTGGAGAGACACACATGAGACTGTTGGTAACTGGCTACTCAGGGATGTGGAATTGGGTCATAGAAGAATGAGGAAACCTCTGCTTTGCACAACTCAACTCAATAGTGTATTACAAAGAGCAGGTATTACTTTTATAACTTAAAAAAAATGATGAAAGCTAAAGAAAGAAAAATAACACACTGGAGAGGAATGGACTGAGAAGGGAAGTTCATTCAGGAGCTAGTTGACAGGTAGGCGCTGTGCAGGGTTGGGATCCCCCTCTTGGCGAGACAGGTGCAGCCCCATAGAAAGGCCAGGCTTCCCAGAAAACTGGGGCTGGGTGGGCCATGTCCTTCCACTGGCAGCTGTTAGAGAATCGACGGTGTTGGCGTTCACCTGCGATATCACACTTGGAAAGGCTTCTGGAAAAAATAATCAGAATGATCCAGACAGAGGCAGGAGTTACTATCCTTCCTCTGGAGGCTTGAGGGAGGGTGTCTAGGAGCAGAGAGGCAAACAGCCATTAAAAACCCCAGAATGGAAAAGATTGATTCAGCCTCAGCCTCCTAGCGCACTTCCTAGCCATCTGTGAGACGGGCCCCAGGCTTTGAACTGGAGACAGTGCCCAAGCCTTTTATTAACCTTCTTCCCTCGGGAGCCGGGGAACGAGGTGTGTGTCTTTGAAGAGTGGTGGCTCAGAAGCGACACGGCTTTCAAACATGATTTGTTTTTATTCTGTTTGTGAATTAGGGTGTGTTCACAGTGAAAGAATGATTTAGACGACGACCAGTCTGCTGGAAATATAAAGGGATAATTGAATCTCCAAGTCTATTAAAGAGTCTTGTCTTGCATCTTGTGGGATGACATTTATTGCAGAGACCAACTTGGCTCTTGTTTTTCAGTTTCTTTTCTTCCCTTTCTCCCTTTCTGATCTTTCAAAAATTAGATTTTCCCTTCCCCCAATCAGAAACTTTTTGAAAAGCCTCTGAGGAGAGTCAGGACGCCTGAAAGGAGCACATCGAGGCAGCATCGCATGGCAGTTTGGCGCGGGGACTCTGGGAGTTGGCAGGTGCCTGACACCCTGCGGTAAGTGCCTGGTCAGTTGTTACCATCAGAATCTCTGTCATCCCCAGTTCTGACACCAACTTGCTGTGTTTCCTTGGGCAAATTAGTTCATTTCTGTGGTCCCCCTGTTCCTCCCATGCCAGCGGAGCCCTCGACAGTTAGTAACTCCAGCGAAGCCCGAAAACGCAACACAAACAGTGCAAAGGCAATGCCAGTGATCAAAATAACCCACCCCGCTTGCTATGTAGACGGAAAATATCATTTCACTGGGGACTGCTCTCAGTAAGTGGGCTCTTTTTTCTCTGAAGAGCCTGGAATCTGTTCCTCAGGGCTGCTAAAACTGGCCTTGTTCTGCGGTCTGATCCGCTGGCCGACCTGTGTCTACATTACTAAAACTGGCCCGGGGCCCTGGCACCGTCCCGCCACGTGGGCCGCCAAATCGCAAGGCCCTTTCTTTTGAGCAAATAGCATCGCACATGTTGCCATCAAGAAAACGAAAGCATTCACGGTGGCACAGCGTCCAGCTTCTCTCTGTGGCCTTTTGAAACAATTTTGTGACCAGGGAGTGGCAAGAAACAAAGGTCTTTCTATCTGATCTGCTCGCCAGGCCGGCGTCAGGTCATGCAGGAGCCTGCACCCCTCTTCCCCTGGAACCATCGGATTGTTATCGCTGCGCTTGTCTCCTCTCTCTGAGTAGGACGAGGCAGGCAGGCAGGCAGAGGAATATATTTCAGCTGTCCTTGACTCTGTTTATAATCACCAACATGAAAGGAAGGGAAAGAGATTGAGTTTATAGGACTGGCTCTTTGTGTAGCCTAATTTATCTCTCTCCAGCAGCAGTGGGCTGAGCAGGTTTCCTTTTTTGTTTCCGATGCGGGAAGCTGAAATATGAATCTATGTTGATGAGAGCATAAAGGAATTGAAAGAGGCCTGAGTCTTATCTTCTCGCAACCCTAGGAGATCAGCTCTTTGTGACGAAGGGGATTATACTTCTGTAATTAACTGCTTTGCAGCTCCTGGTGATGGCTCAGGCCTGAATAATGGCACCCAGAGAAGTTGGATAAAAGGCGGGCAGGCGGGTGCAGACACGGATCGTGAACAATGGTCTCAGGGCTTGACATCCTTTCCCAGTGCCCAGCTCGCAGAGAGTCAAGCCAGGAGATATTTGTCCCCTGTCTAGCAACATTCACAGCAGAGAGAATAGAATTCCAGAACAAATATTTAAAGCTCATAGAGACCTGTTCCTCTGTAGGCTGGTAGCTGCCCTGAGGTACCTTGAAGACCTAAGCCAGGTTGTACACCCTTTGTGTTCCCGCCAGTGCCCAGGACCTGGTAGGTGCTGACTAAAGCTTGGTGAAGGTGACTGCCCCTTTCCAGCCGTGGGATTTGGGGAGAGTTGTCTAATTTCTCTGATCTTCAGTATACCATCCACAAAATGCAAGGGGTCTTGTAGAGTTTGGGGTAAGAAGAGTTCAGATCATGATAAACAAATTACTTATCACATCGCCTGGCACATACGGCAAGGGATCGATAAATGCTAGCTATTATTAGTACATTGTGGAATACAAATGGGTGGTGAGCTCATCGCTGCTTACGAGGGCCTTATCATGCAAGGCACCACACGTACCTTGGTGCCTGAAAGCCTCACATCGTCCTTTTCAGGTAAGCAGGATCCTTCCCCCCATTTCACTGATGACAAAACAGGCTCAGACTGGAACAGTGACCTGCTCGAGGTACAGGGCAGTAGAGGAGACTGGAAGCCGGGTCTTCTGTCCTGGGCCCCTCCCCTCCCCTCAACACCAGCCTCCCAGGCCCTCAGCCTGTTCCTCGACAGGTGTGTCTGCCCATCACTCTCCAGACCTCACCACCCCAGGATCAAACCTCTGGGCCATCTTTTTGCTTCCTTTTTTGCTCCCTGCCTGTGTCACTGAGTCCTAGAGATTCTTGAGATGTTTTCAGAACTTCTCCCTACTCAATCCTGCTGCCACTTAACACTGGCCCAGCACCTGGTCTCTTGACAACCAGGCTTCCTACAGCGAGCAGGCTCTTGAGTGGTGTCTAAGGGAGGGCGAAGCTCCCTTCCCATCACCCCCCACACCAGTGCCAGGTGAGTGGTCCCAACCTCCACTTCCCTGTCCTTCCCTGCGAGGGATCAGCGCCCACAGCGTCAGCTCCACCGTCCTTTTCTGGGATGCAAGGCCCTTCAGCTGACCCACCCGAATTTGTCTCTTTTCACTCGCAGTGAGAACCCCCTGCTCCGGCTGAGCCTGCCTTGTCTCCATCAGGTAGGCACCCCACGGCCTCTCTGAGCGCTCAATGGATTAGATCCTTGATAAGGATGCAAATGCCCCAGAAAGGATGCTCCATTCAATGCATAGTCAGTGCTTGACAGAGCCATGGAACAGAGAGCTCCTCTCTTCCATCCACCCACGCGTTCTACAGATGGACCCTGAGGCCCAGTGGCTTAGCCAAAGCCACACAGTGAATGAGTTTCAGAGCCAAGTCTCACACCTAGGTCTTCTAGCTTAGAATTCAGTGCTTATCCATTAGACCAATGGACTGCATTGCCCTCAATGGTGATGGCAGCCACTGGCCAGGGTGGTGGCGGGGGCACCTGAACTCAGTCTCCACGTGGGCGGTGGACCTGTGTGATTCACCAAAGGGACGGCCTGATGAGGGAGAAGGACTGAGTTAGGCCCTGGGGCAGGGCTGTGGTGGGCAGGATCTGGGGGGTGGGGGAGACGGGGTTGGAGACTGAAATCTAGGGAGATTGTCATGGAAATCAGCAATTGTAAGGCAGGTGAAAATGCAGCTGTATACTAGCCCGGCAATGTGCTACAGAACGCAGCAATTAACTTCTCTACTCATGGGAGATGGGGTCCAGGAGGGCTTTGGGGAAGAAGCGGCCTGTGACTTGGGTCTGAAGAAGCAGGAGGAGGATGTTCAGGGGCTGTCGGGGGCCAGGCGTTCTGCATTGAGGGAGCAGCATGGACAGAGGCAGGGAGGCCGGACAGCCTGGGCTGTACGTGGGGAATAGCACAGCGGGCAGCAAGGGAACCTGGAGAAAAGCAGAGGAACCTGAATTGAAGTTCTAACTCTGCAGCTAGTCTGACCAGCTCAGGATCTGGACAAGTCACTTTATCTTTCTGGATCTTAGTTTCCTTATATGTGAAACTGGCATAACGATATTATCTGTCTCCTGAGCGTTATAGTGAGGATGAACCAAAACAGTAAGGCACCAAATATAGGGCCTGGCACATAGTAGGTGCTCAACAAAAGGCCCAGTATGGCCGGAGGGTAGGTCCTGTTGGAACACAGGGACAAGCAGGGGTTTGGGCGATGCTGTATGTTTTCTTTTGCCTTCCGATGGGCCCTTTCCCCTCCTTCCAGGGGCTCCCTAGCTGGCCTGGGAGGGCTGCTTACCCACTTAGAGTTGCCAGGATGTTTGGCCATCCTCGGGTCCAGAACGATCTTCTGGTTCCGTCATCATCCTTAAGCTCTTTCCAGCCTGAACACAACTGGGGCTAGCGTTCCAGGTCTGGTCATGTTTGCTGGCAGAGCCCGTGTTTGGGAGCGACAGCTCTGTTTAGGTAGAAACAGACACTGAAAACAGCTGCTGGTTCTCTGCCTTGGTAAACACGGAGTAAACCCTGCCACTCCGGGCTTTGCAAGGGATCAGGGAGCACAAGGCAGGCCCTACTCACAGGCGTCCTGTGGGGTAGGGAAAAGCCATCTTTTCAGCAAGTGTGCCAGCCTCCTCAGGCTGGGGCCAGGTTTAGGGGTGGCGGTGGGAGGAGTTAGAGGCTCTTCCTCCCCTCTTGGCCTCTGGGTGTCAGAGGACTCTCCAGGCACTTTCTGCCATCTAAAATCTGTGGGACTTCAGGTCAAGTTTTCAACCTCTCTGGATGGGCCAGTCAGCAAAGGCAATTCCTGGCATGTCCCTGTATGCTGTTCCTCTTTAGTGAGTGGTGGCCAAACTTACCAATGCATCAGAATGACCTGGGTGAGGCTAACTAAACATTCAGATACCCAGGCCCTGCCCCAGACTTACTGAGTCAGAATCCCTGAGGGCAGGGCCCAGGAACCTGCATTTTAATGACATCTCCAGGTGATTCTGGTACAGGCATCCCAGGAACGATACCTCCATAATCTCTGTCTGAATTCCACCAGGTTCCCTGGGGAACCAGGAGAAAGAGGTAGTTAGAAGGGGGGTCTAACAGGTGATGTCAACACACCACTCCTCTTCACACGTACGTCTGCAGTTACACTTTTTTGGCGTTGGCGTAGAAACAGAAGCTCTTAGATGTATGTCTCCTTAGAACAGACGGCATTACTGTTCTAGGATATAAAAGAGTGATACCCCATCCATTAGACTTAGCCCATTTCCAGTCCATCCACCCATCCTCCATCCATCCATCCATCCATCCATCCATCCATCCATCCATCCATCCATCATCCATCCATCCATTCATCCATCCATCATCCATCACTTTTTTAGTACCTGCCTGTTCTGTGCCTGGCTCTGGCTGGGCTTTGGAGACACAGGGAAGAATAAGATCTGGTTCCTGGCCAGAATTCCCCATCTAGATAAATAGACACACAAATCATCCTAATATAGGGGGATCCCTCCCATAAGCAATGTCTCAAGTAGGTACAGGGGTGGCACAAGGCAGGAATGATGGATTCCACGGGCATGGAGAATGGGTCAGAGAAGGCCCACAAGACAGCAGTTTGTGAGCAGGTCACGAAAGGGAGTAGGAGTTTGCCAGATGGAGAGGCCGTGTGTGAGGGTGTGTAGGAAGGTAGGTGACTCCTGTGAATGAAACCCCTTCACATCCATTATGAGAGCAGAGGCCTCTCTTTGGGCTCCATGGAGCCCACATTCTGATGCTCATCTTCAGTCTCATCTTCTGGTCCCTCAGAGTGAGAAGAAACCACTCTGGGGTGTGTGTTGCAGGCTCAAGGCAGCTATCTCTTACACAGCGCAGTTGTTGTGGAATTAACAGGTAAACAGCCATCCGAGTTGAGAGGCATGGGATGCTTAAGGGCATCCTAGCTCTGCCTGCAACTCACTAGGTAACTGAGGGCAGGTCCCTGAGCTTCAGTTTCCCTGTCTCTAAGATGGAAGGTTGGCTTCCAGTTCTGCCAGTTTCTGCCTGGAGCACGGCCCCGACACCCTGGCATCAATATACTTGTTAGCAATGGCTTTTCTTCCCACTCCAAGCTCATCTGTCTCAGCATATCAGCAACACAACATCTTGCAGGATTAATGTATTGGATTTGAGCCCCCCGCATATTCCCTGCAGTCCAGAAGTGGTTTTGCAGGGAAAATGCAAGGTGGATGTATACCTGAAGGTGGCGCTGTGGCTCCAGTTGCGGAGCTGCTCTCTGGAGCAGGTCTGTGTTTTCAGAGCATCTGTGCAAACTGTGCCCGGTTGATGGCAGGTTCTCTTCTTTCATGGAGCCCTCACAATCCAGCATACCCTGCTCATTTGAAAGAAGCAGCCAGGCCAGCTCACTCGGGCCTCCCCGCCTCCTGGGCCCCTTCACACATCTTCAAATCTCCCTGTTTCCCTGTGGGTCCTCCCTTCAGCAGAGGAGGAGGAAAGCCTATTGAGAATGGCTTGTGGGCGGAGCAGGGGTCTGCGCCGGTGTTTTTCTGGTGCTCATTGCAGGCAGGAGGCCCTTGGTGTGGAGCTGCTGTGGGGTCTGTGACATGATTTGCTGTGTTTGGGTCACAGCCTCCTTGACCCGCATCCCGACCCCCGACAGTGGATTTCCCCCGGGGTGATGATATTTTGAAAGCACTCCATACTCTTCCCGCTGCTGCCTTCTCTCCATTCATTTGGGTTTGCTTTTTAGCTGAGCCACTGAATAACGAATCCAGCGGGAGAAAATGATGGGGGCAAGAGGAAGGAAAGAGGAGAGTGCTAACATTTATAAAGTGCTCGCTGGGTGCCCAGCACCTCCACCAAATAACTACAGCCACGAATTTTATACTTTCAGCTGCATCACCCTTTCCTCCAACCAAATTCACAAGCCAAACCTGCCACGTAAACCAGACACAGCAGGGGAGCTGCTCCAGTGGGACGGGTGGGGCACCAACGGGCCCTGCCCCTCACCTCCGCATCCTCTCCCTTCCTCCCTCCCAGCAGCCCCTCTGGTGCTTCCACCAAAGCTGGATCTAAAGCACTGTGCACCTTAATCTGTATATAACTCTTAAGAGGAAATAGTCCCCTCATTTTTCAAACGTAAAAGCTGCGGCCCAGAAGAGTGAGGTGATTTGCCAGAATCCTATGATCAATAAAAGGCAGACAGCCAGGCTGTGGGCCCAGGCATGCCTGACTCTAAAGCCCCCAACTCTGCCTGGAAGACACTGGGTGCTCTGCTGCCCAAGGAGGGACAGGAAGAGGCGGTGGCTCACCCCCACCCCCACCCCCGGCCCCCCGCCCCGCAGTAGACAGCGGACCAGGCCAGATAAAACGGACACGGTTGATGCCAGATATCTGGTAAACTGCCTGCAAAGAAGGAACCCAGATAGGACTGGAGGACCGTGGAGGATGGGAAACACATTCGGAGTGGGTTCTGCGACACCAGCGACATGATCGTTCAGCCCCCAGGCACGCTTCAGCTTGGCTGACTTCAGAAGACACCAACCAGCCATGTGCTAGACATTCACAGTCAAGCTTTCCAGGCCCTGATCAGCCTGTTTTGTTCCAGAGCAGCCAGGATTGGGGGCGGTAAAATATGAACTGGATCTCTGTTCCTGCCTTGCAGGTGGAGGGGAGATCATGGAAGAACAGCAAGACGCTTAAAAAAGAACAAAATGTGAAGTCATGTGTTCGCCTGCAAGTTTTGGTTTGCTTGGAATCTTGTAAGGAGCATGGATTTGGAGTCAGAAATCTATGGGTTCCAAGGTCATCTCTACTGGTTTGACCTGACTTCTCTGAGTCTCAGTTGCCTCCTTTGTAAAACGACATCACCAACAGTGCCTGTGTCTCCGGGCTGCTGTGGGTGGATTACATGAGCTCTCAAGTGGGGAAGCATCAAATCTGGGATGTACAAAGTAAACAGTGGTTCTCTCCCTGCTCTCCTAACTCTTCTCAAAGCCCATTGAATTGATGGTATGCCCTAAATGGATGTGCTTGCAAGGGACACTTAACAGATGGGTTATCATTTCTGATTTCGGTCAACTGGCTGAAACACTTTTTCATCTTATTATGTGAGATGTGACACTGATGCTCAAAAGTGTAAACATAGAGCCTCAGAGAGCTCAGGATGGTTGAATCCAACTCCTTCATTTTAGGAAGTGGGAAAATGACTTACCCAAGGTCACCCATTGGGTTAGTGGCAGAGCTGGGGCTGGAACCCAAATCTGTTGACTCTCAGACCACTGCTCTGTCATCCCAGGTGAGAAGGAAGGTCCACAGGATGCTCTCTTGATCCCTTCTGGTCCATGATTCCTACCTCTGTGAGGAGAATAGAGGGAGGGGTTCATCAAGGAAGACCCACTGTGTTCCACGAACCCCATCATGTGGGGTCATGTGTTGGGGGTGAATGGAGCCTCCGTTATGGGACTGAGATCTGAGGAGCCAGGACCAGTCCTGTCATCAACCAGAGTCAGAGGTGAAGCAGGCTCCTACCACAGGTGTAAGGAGATTGTCCAACTTGGAGTTGGTTCCATCTCTGCCTCTTACCACCTGTGTGACCTGGGCAGGGAATTTCTCTCTGAGCTTGTCCTGATCTGAACCAAGGAGAATAAAAGCATATACCTCATAGGTTATGGTTAAGATTAAACAAGTTAATATAATAATAATAATAGCCAACAGTTAGGGAACACGTACTATGTGCCAGGTTGAGTTCTAAACTCTTTATATGTATTTGCTCATTTAATCTTCATAACAACTTGTATTTCACTACTGAGGAAAGAGACTCAGAATGGTTAAGCAGAGTCCAAGGACACACAGTTGGAGAGGACAGAGCCAGATACTGAGCCCAGATGGACTGGCTCTGGCATCCCACTCTCTTAACCATTCTGCCCCTTGGCCTCTCAATTTAGGCAAAGCCCAGTGCTTAGCATGTAGGTCTCCAGAAAAGTCCATCCCTCCCTCCCTCTCTTTTCCCTTCCTCCTCACCCACCCCCTTCTTGTTCCCAAGAGTGGGTGGGTTCCAAAAGCAGTTATGCTCTGGTTTCTCAGACATAGGAAGTCCACCCAACTTAACCATTTCACCTTGAATAACTTTTCTTCTCTGTTTTGTTGTTGGTTTTGCTTTTTACATTTTTTTGTTGCTTAATCAAAAGCACAGCTGAACTGCCAGCAAGGCAAATCTCTCGATCCTGTGCTCCTGGGCACCAGGTGAGCCTCTGCTCAGCTAAGCTCCCAGTGCCAGTGAGCCAAGGGGCATGATCGCCTGGCTTCCACTTGCACGCATGCGTGCTAACTCCCAGCCCACAGCCAGCTTCCTGAATACGAACAACCAATTTGGGAAAAAATACGCCGCCTTGTTTGTGGGTTTCTGGCGACACTCGTTCAAGTTCCTGGTTAATATAGAGACCTTGTCAAGATGTCCAAATACTCTCCTTAGCACAGAAACTTGTCTTACCACCCGTATCCACATAGCCCCAAAGAGCAGAGGGTCCCAAGTGACAGGAAAGGCTCAGCCACTGAGTCTTCCTGAACCCCGACTGCCCTGAGGCTCTGGTTCCCTTCCAGCTACTTGCAGGCCATGGGCCCATAGAGGATATAACAAGGAAATTGCAAAGAGTGCCGAGTGAGACCAAGCTGCACTGTGAATAAAGGCAAATCAGGACAATGGAGAATCTGGCCAAGCTGTTTAAAGGCCCAAATGTATTGCTTTTTCCAGTGGCCCAAAGGAAAAGCAGTCTGCCTTGGGGATCCGGATCCCCTACTGCCACGGCTGGAAGGGCAAGGTCGAGACTCCAGTGGACTGGATGCTAAGGTTGGGTCTCGGACCTGCCTCTGAGCCTGCAATGCCAGCATCGACATTTGTGTTTAT